ACGTTTCGCATAAAAAATTGCTGCTTGTTCAACGTTTTGAAAAGTTCAAATGGAACCCATTCTTGGAGGTTTTCCACAAAGTTTTGAATATCCTCACTGTAGTCTTGAGAAAACGTGTTGGATGGGGAACAAATTCTGAATGATGCTTATTGATGCTCGTATAACTCATCAATCTAGAAAAAGTTTACCAACTACCAGGTGTTTGCTGGCTCGTAGGTCCTCATTTTTATTTGTTAGCAAATTGGTGAATATATATATATATATATATATATATATATATATAAAACAGTAAATGTCCATTATTTGCCAGTGGATAGAATGCTGCCATGTTACCGAAACCAATGTCTGATCCATACGGCTACAGTTCATTGCAGACCAGTGTCCAGTTTATCTGGTAATGCGCCTCTTGGACTGNCAAACGTCCGAGGTGTCTGATACACTGATGTTCAATCAGGTTAATGACTAGTATCAGAATCCGGGAAGCGTGTGTTTACGTGATTCGTACGCCTCTTCTTCATTTGTTTTGGAATCAGAGATTTTAGCCTGTTTGTCTTTGCTAACTTCCGATCAGACTGTAGATCCGGACGTTGCCTTTTTGATCCTTTCGCTTTGATTGGAAATAACATTAAGTAGAGTTAATCAACAAAGGCTGTTTGGGGCGCTTGGTTAGGTACAGTAGTATTTTACTAGGTGCAAAGGACTGGTGGTCATTGACATCCGAAACATACCCTTGAACTACACTGATGCTTTCAGAACTAACAAATGATAAATTTAAATAATAATAATAATAATATTGTTATACACCGCTGAAAAGGGTCACTAGAATCATCCTATTTTGAAATTGTTTAGTTTTTCAGTCAGTTACGTAACGTTTGTCCACAGTCTAAAGGGTGGTGGTGGCGCAGTGGTTTAATCGCTGTCACCGGCGTGCTCTGGACCCTATGGTCCGAGGTTCGAGCCCCGCCACCGCCACTCGACTTTGGTGGTAGGCAACTCTGCTGTCGTCCGGTTCAATACCTCCAAGTCCCGGGGCCTAGGTTACCGATTTCAACCACTGAACAGCAGGTCCTCGTGACTACGGGGTTTGCCGCGTCTGCGTTTCATCACACCTAGGTGTGTAATAATAAAAAAAAGAATTCCATTCGGCATTCGTTTTGTTTTTATTGGTTATTATTTCGAAGTGGATGCCTGCCGTACTCCGTCCTACTCGGTTACATGGTTAGATTTGTAGCACAATGCGGAATCCATCTTTTTGATCATAAATATCTTCCCCATCACGCCTCCTCATTCATTTCGTCCCCACGTCCCTGCGTGTCATAACCATTTGCGGTTCAATTCTTTGCACTCATTAGAAACGCGTTTCGTCTCGCCCAACAACTGAATACTGTTGAACTAGAGGCCCAGGCATGCTACAGTCTCGGCAACACGTTCACACTGTTACGGGAGCCCAGCAAAGCTGTTGTTTATTATCTGCGTCATTTGGTCATTGCCCGACGTCTTGGCGATCAGGTTGGACAAGGTCGAGCTCATTGGTCCCTGGCGAACACATATACTACACTGGAACGATATGATTTAGCACTGCGTTGTGCACGACGACATCGTCGTATTGCTCAGAAGGTCAGTTCACTCATTATTTGCACGCTGTCACAGAAAGAATACACATGTTTCATTATATTTCTTACTTTTTTGGTCCAGTCTGTTAGTTTTAAACAAACCATGCTATTGAGGTTTTTGTACTATGCATATAAATGGCTTCGCGATTTGAGTACAGGTTCGATAGTACTACCATTCTTCCCAAGCCAAAATATATGGTTTTCTGAAACAAAACAACAGAGTGGCGAACAAGCTCGTTTTCAGAGATTCGTAATCATGCCAATACATCTCAATATATATCACTACTTGGGAATAAAATTGTCATGGGAAAATAAAATAAAATAAAAACAGATTACTAAAACCGATTTCATCGTGAGACCGGAAATCGGGTTCACCACGATCACAT